CAAGGTTTGCTGCTCAAGGAAATTGCTAACGACTGGATTGTGGAAACCAGCCTTAGCATAGCCGACGCTCGAAAAAAATGGCCCTTAGGCATTGCCGTGGGCAAGCTTAATGTCGTTTTCGCCGAAGGCAAAGAACCTCGCCTTGTCTTGGATAGCACCGTGTGCCAGGTCAATACCAGATGCCATTTGCCAGAGCGCCTTAGCTTGCCCATGGCCTCTGATTTGGCGCTTTCCACGCAGCCAGAGGACACTCCAGGCGCCTTCATCGGCGCCAGCATTGACTTTAAAGCCGCACACAAACAAGTGCAGGTTCGCCCGGAAGAACACGGCCTTCTTCTCTTCGCCTTTCAAGGGAAGCTCTATCACTACAGGGTGTGCCATTTTGGGGGCCGTTTCTCGGCCTTCTGGTGGCAGCGCACCGGCGCTTTCTTGCTTCGTCAAGTGCATGGGTTGCTAGCCTGGAAGCCGCACAAAGCCTTTCTCTTTGTGGACGACCTGCTCTGTGCACTCGTCCGGGATAGCGCACCAGACATGTTTGCCTTGGTGGTGCTCTTCTTTTGTGCCATTGCAGCACCCATTTCGTGGAAAAAGGTGCAATTCCAGGATAGCCTGGTTTGGTGCGGTTGGGAGATCAACTTCTCTCACGACACCATTCAGCTCATGTCCTCAAAACTGGCCAAGCTGGACGCCTTGATCAAATCCCTGCTGGGAAGCCGACGCTCGAGCAGTGCATAGGCGTGTTGATTTGGGCCACCAGCATTGCCCTGCACCTTAGGTCCTGGCTGGCACCGCTTTACGCGGACCTCAATAGCCCACCAGGCTCCATGCACTCAATACCACCGCAAATGTGGTCGGCCTTTCGGGCATCCTTGTCAAGGGACCTCAAAACTAGTCACAGCCTGCCGGGATTGTGGATCACCGCGGGTTCCAAAATCTTGGAAATTTCAGGCCGCACCTTGCATTGCCTTGACGACATTCCGCGAGTGCCTGGCACTAGCAAGCCCACATGGGTGCGCATCGCGGACCCCAATAACCCATACACCAGCCTTTCCAAGTCAAGTCAACATTGCCTTACTTGGCTGGCGTCGTGCTTTCGACACTCGCCTATTCAGCCGTTGGCGCGGCCACACCAGCTGCAAGCTCTGGCTGCCGCCGACGCGTGTGCTGAAGATGAAATGGTGGGGATTGGGGGCTGGGCAATCACATCCTCCCAAGTGGTGTGGTTCGCCGAGACCTGGAACATGCAAGACATAAGAGCCGTGTGGCCTTGCCTTGTCAAGCCAGCACAGCGGTATATCGCATGCTTTGAAACACTTGCACAGTTAGCACTGCTGCAAGCAACCCACAGCCACATTGGTGGTGGGCACTACTCGTTTAGCATGCCGTCCGGCACGGACAATTCCGCCACGGAAGCAAGCCTTAACAAATTGTTCACGACCTCATGGCCGTTGCAACTTTTTGTGCAGTTAACAGCCTTCTGGGCTCACGCTCACAACGTGCTGCTGCAGCCAACGCACGTTCCAGGAAGGTGCAATGATTGGGCAGACGATCTCAGCAGAGGTCGGTTGACCCGATTCAGCCATCGCCCTGAAAGTCGCATGCGCTTCAGCCCTGCAAGCCTGGCGATGTCGGGCCGAGGCATTCAACTGTGTCCGATGCATGCGCCCTGGCGTCCGGAACATTTGGCAGCAGCTTCCATCGTCGCTGAGCCAGCCTAGCCTGCATCCGACTTGGCCTTCCGAGCCCTTTTCTGCCGTTGCCTTGTCAGCCAGAACAACTGGCAATGTCAGCCAGCCGCTTACACAAGCCGCTCTGACCAGAAAAAAGTGCAGTCACCGCATGCCGAGCTGTTCACAACACAGCGTGCATGGTGACCCTAGCATCTGCCCTGCCAGGTACAACCCCACTCTGAAGGGCGGGTGATGAGGCCTTCGGCCCAGCTGGTTCGCTTTTACCGGGGTTGCCTGAAACACTGAAGGGGGGGTCAATGTGCCTCCTGCTCCAGGCGCACTAGTGCCCTGGAAGCAGTGCAACTTTCAGCAATCCCGGTGAAAAGAACTGTGGCCGCTTTGGACGAACTTTGTTCTTTTGAGGTTTCATGTTTGGGTTCAAGCTAGGAGCAGTGCGACATGCCTTAACGCTTAGGGCTTCTTTTCCCTTGTGTTTAGGGCATGTGGTGAATCGAACTATGCGTTGGCCGTTTTGCTCCTAGCCTTGACCCAAACCTGCGGTTTCATTTCGAAACCCACCCACCCACCCTGCATTGCCCTATGCCAGGCTTTGCCAGGATAGACGGCAGTTTCTCTGCACTATCGTGGGTCGCCTCCGGGCGCCGTAGTCTCCGGACTAGGTCTCCGGACCAAGATCGGTCTCCGGACCTCAAGTCTCCGGACTGTCGGTCTCCGGACCTTGGGGCGTGGGCACGCGTGCCGCGCCCCCCCCGAGCACTGCATTTACCCGCAAGGACACGCATTGTCTTGCCTTTTCACATTTCGGGGGGTCAATGTGCCTCCTGCTCCAGGCGCACTAGTGCCCTGGAAGCAGTGCAACTTTCAGCAATCCCGGTGAAAAGAACTGCGGCCGCTTCGGACGAACTTTGTTCTTTTGAGGTTTCATGTTTGGGTTCAAGCTAGGAGCAGTGCGACATGCCTTAACGGAGTAGAAAAGGGTTGAGGGGCACTTCCTCGGGTATCCTGGTGGCGGTTGCGACGTTGAAGGTCAAGGGGGCGGAAGCCCAAAGTGATCAGCAGGTGGAAAACGCTTCCGGGGCGTTGACGGTCCTGGTAGTGGTGGTGGCGATCATGTCGGTGATCTGCTACAAGCTGGTGGAGGAGATGGTGAAGGCGATTCTGCAGCAGCGGAGGCGTGGAACCGTGGAGATCCTGGTGGAGAACCGGGAGGTGCAGACGACGTCGGAGGAGACGGAGCAGGAGATCAGAAGGCGCGTGTGGGAAGAGGTCAGGCGGGATCTTCGCCTGGAGCGCCTTCAGCAAAGGCATCGTGAGGAGCAAGAAATGGAGGAGGAGGACTTTCGGATGGAGAGTCGCTCGGCGAGTCAGAACTCGGAGTCTTCGAGCAGTGGGGTTCGCCTTTGGCAAAGGAGGCATGACACGGCAAGGCTGATGGGGAGCATCGCGGAGACCCCGATGGCCAGGCAGGAAGAACCGCAGCGGGAGCCGGTGGAGCTGTATCACCTCACGCACATGGGGGAACGGTACCACTGGAACCGAGAGTGCTGGGGATTGAGGCAGGCGACGATCAGCTGGGAATGAGGATGCAGAGGGATCGCAATGCCACGGCGTGGAAGGGAGAGGATGGCCGGCTGCATTCGACCCCGACCTGTGTGCCGTTGTTGGCACACTTCAGGAGCATGCCGCTCCGACCTTGCAGGTTCTGTGTCAACGGGGTGGTGGAGGACCCGACGGCGTGAGAAAAAGGCTTGAGCTGGTAGGTGTTTTGGATGAGACAGCCGAAAAGGGGCTGAATCTCGATGCCGTGTGAGCACTTGCTCCATGGTCTTTGATCATCCCGCGGAGTTCCCTGACCCGTCAGGGAAGGTGAGCCCATGCGCCGACATCCGATAGCCTTTTTGGATGAGAAACAGGAGATTTCGCATTTTAGCTTCTGAGGTTAAGTTTGCCCCGGAGCAAGCGTACCCTGAGTTCATCTTGCGTTTTGTTGAGTCCTAGGGTCAGACGAATATGGATGTTTTCCCGTAGCACCTCGATGAAAGTCGAAAAAAGTGCTTCACTTGTCATGCATGTCGAGGCATTTTTTGCAAAAGACGTCGGAACATGGTTGAAGTGACTCAGCGTAAAGCCTTTTTTGTAGCGGCGTTGGTTGGCGTTCTTTTTCTTGGTTTTTGTATGCAGCGCTTGCCCCTGAAGAATTAGATTGATGACTGTGATGTTGACTATTTTTTGCTGATTCAATCCGAAATTGATTTGCGAATTGTGTGGAAAGATTGGGCCTGTGGAAAATGATGGGAGATTCCTATATCTTTTGTTTGCATTACTTATTTTCGTTCTCCCCGCGCCGGCATCGCATGTCTGCTGCGCGGGATGCAGGGACGCACGCGATGAATTCCGGATGGATGGATGGATGGATGGATGGATTCGTGGAGTAGTGGATTAGTGGATTAGTGGATGGATGGATGGCATGGATGGATGGATGGATGGCATGGATGGATGGATGGATGGATGGCATGGATGGATGGATGGATGGATGGATGGATGGATGGATGGATGGTTGGTTGGTTGGTTGGTTCGTTGCTTCGTTGCTGGTTGCGTACGTGCGGCGGCCCGCGCGTTGCGTACGTGCGAAATCGCGGCGCGTGCGCGCACGTTATCAGGAATGCCTGAGGGAAGGCGGGTATGACGAGGCGGAATTTAAGGGCTTGTGCCCTGTGTTGTTAAAAGCCTTCAATTTCTTTTGCTTGGGACTCGAAAAAAGAAAGACGTAAAGGAACAGAAACATCAAATATCAAAAAGCAGACAAGTATAGTCAAAAAATAGAAATGCAATATGGTAGTCTGAATATAAATATATTTGTGTTATTTGCTAATATGAAGTTGTTTATATGAGTATAAAACGAATTAGTATATATATATATATATATGTCGTAATAGTATGTATAAAACTAAAATAACATAATGATGTATATTTATAAATGTATTATTTGGAAACATATTTGTTTTAACCTTTGTAACTTGATCCTTGTATTAATTTTGTTTGATATCAACAACATGATGCAGATAAATTTGAAGTACATTTGGATTGGGTAGAAATATTGTAGTGTTTGGGTCACATGGGAACTGTCTAAAAGGATTGGATGTTGTCGCGCGGGCGGCCCAAGGGCTTAATGTGTGTGCTTTCAGTTTGGAAAATGTGATTTGAACAAACGTCCGTCAGCAGCAGTTTTGGTTGCGATGCACGGGTCAGAATACACCGTTTGGCTTCTTGCATGAAGACCACGTGAGGGATCGCCCTATGGTTTTGACCCAAGCGTAACGGCAAGTCCAATACTTCTCCTTAGTTGTCGCTTGCTTGCCGCATGTGATGAGAAACTTCGCCTTGGTGGTGCTTGGGCTGACCTGCATGTTGGCGGGTTTGAAAGAGAACGCCTTCGTGGCGGTCCGCGGACCAGTGCGCAGCGTAAATAGTGGGCATCCTGAACAAGGCCTGGGGTGCAAATAAAGTCACTCCCCGAAAAGTAGGCCAAGAAACCCACCCATTCCAAAGGATTTGGGGTGAGGTCTTGGGTTGAGTAACTTCGGATCTATTGGACCACTCCAACAGTCAGAGCCCCTCCAAGTATATCATCTTAAGAAGAACCGCTGATCAGTATGGTCCTCATGAATCTGAAGCCGCATTTGGGTTTCAGCCTGCCAAGGGAATTCCCTGAAAATGACGAGGTAAAGATGGGAATCCCAGAAGGAACGGCCCCATTTCCACATTTCCACCATGGAAGGTGCGGCACGCCAAGCGCATTTTCTGCAAGGAGGTTCTCTGCCTGCTTCCGTGGCGCTGTCGCTCTGTGCCTTTCGAGCTGTCACAAGGAGCAAGCGCAGGACAGAGAGCCAGACTCTTCCTTAAACTATGGTGGCTTAGAGGTGTTTAGACAAGGTGGCAACCGGCCCAATCCTGCATTTCAGCGAGCGGCTTGCTTCGTGCGGTTTTGAAGCACGTTTTTTCCCCCAGTGTTTGAGTGGGACCTTGAACGGAACATGCTGGCTCTATGCTTAAGCAAGGGTGTTCTTTTTGTCGGTGCCCTGAGGACTTGCACTTCCCGCGGCGCGGGGTTTGGGGGCAAAGGCTTGTCCGGGAAGTGGGGATGCTTCGAAACGGAGGGGGACATTGACGCGTACTGGAAGGCGGGAAGTGATCAGCGTTGAACCGACTGGAACCAAAGGGGCACCTGGGCTTTTGAGTGGAATGCTTGTATAGGGGGCGGAATAGGCAAACACTTGAACCAACCTGAAGTAGGGAGGGGGGGGATATGTTGTTTGACTTTCTGGGAAGCAGATCTTCCTTTTGGGGTCACTTTTGGGTGAGCTATTTTGAAGGGAAAGCCGAAGCGGAAACCCAAAACAACTTGAACAACACAACCCAAACACACGCGCACACACACAAGACAACAACACCATGTCCACGTAGAGAAAAACCAAATGCAGACCCACATGGAAACCCACAAAGATCGACAACACATCCCACCTGAAATCAGGGCACCTCTTTTTGGTGCCGTTACTTTAGCAGCCAACCCTTTACTTCGAAGGGGGAAAAACAAACAGCACAACCAAGGCCAAGCGCCCAATGAGGGTAAACTCACAAAAGGCAACACCAGAACAAGTCAAAGCAACACATCCGAGTAGTGGGAACCCCACGGGAAGTGGAGCAAGCCACATCCGAGGAACGCGCGGTGCGTTGTCTTGCCCGAAACGAGGCCACGGGCTTGCCCTGGCTGGCGCGGAAGGGGCTGCAGCTGATGGACTGGGGGGCCGGCAAGAACACCAACATCCGGGAGTTCGCGCAGGCGACGCGACTCAAGCAGCGTTTTTTTTTGTTTTTTTTTGTTTTTCCCAACAACTCTTCCTATGGTCAAGGGTCCCAGCAGTGAAGTCTTCCAGGGCGACTGGCCCCTGTTGGGACTGGGGGGCCCCGTTGTGCGGCCCTTGACAGCCCTGAATGGCTTGCGAATGGTGTCATCTGTAGTGTGGGCAGCTTGGGTTTGTGCTGGTATTTTTGGACGTCGCAGGAGGGCGACCAGATCACCATGCAGTACTCCTTCGAGGGGCCAGGGCTTGGGGGTCTGGGCTTCACCGAGACCTACACGGTGGGGAGCGGTGTGCAGGCGACCGAAGCGGGCTGTCGATGGAATCAAGCTGCCTCCTCCCCGGGGTTCAACTCGTTCCCATCAAAAGAACGGCCATAGGGCCCAGTTTGGATGAAGCTTAGGTGAAACATGGTGGTTGTGAGCAGTCATCAATAGTACCACCGCCAGTTTTGGTCTACTCTGTGGTGTTTGGGGGTCCTTGAAAGGGTGTGATTGAGGGGCGACCGAAAAATGAGCTGACGTTTGAAAGGTTGGACCCGCGGACAGCCCGGGCCGGGACGGGGTGTTTTTTCTCAGCTAGGAGATCACCCGCATGGGCGGCGCCAAGATCATGGTGGAGCCGGTCTGGGAGTCCGAGTCCGTTCTGCGGGTCACCAACATGAACCCGGCCAAGCAGACCAAGGGCTGGGCCAAGACCCTGATCACAGGCACACATCGGGAAACAGGGCAGAGCCCAGAGGCTAGCTGGGAAGCCCAGGAGGATCTTCTGCAACTGGCTGGAGTTGACAGAACAAACATGTTGGCCTGCCTTACTTTTTGAGAGACAAGCCCCTTTTTTGGGCCCTGCCTATTTGTTGGTATGTTGGCACATACCCGTATCTGTGTCGGGAAGAGAGACTGTGGGAATTTCAGGGTTGCCAGCCCACTATCTGTTTTTTCGAGTATTTGGGAGTCGAAAGGTTTCAGAAGCAGCCATCGGAGAGGGCTCCCAGATCCAGAGATCGGCAGGTGGGTCAGATGAAGAAGCTGAGCAGATGGTGAATGAGGAGGACGCTGCAAAGGGCACCGGCGAAGCTTTCCGGCCCAAATGGCGACGTAAACTACTGGGATCACCAAGGCACATGTTGTTCCTGGAGTGTTGCTATTGCCATGAAATGGTGTTGAAAGTTGAAATTAAGGAGCAGATGTCAGGTTTTGCAGCAACTGGTTCAGATCTGATCCGAGGTGATTGATGTTCACAGATTCTTCATCGAGGCAGGGCTTTTGTTGGCATTCAACGTTGCGCCACGACAAGTGAAGCTTTTAGCCTTGCAAGGACGACAAATTGGTTCTGGAAGCCGATTCCTCGCCGTCAGAGGGGCCAGTTGTCAAATGGCTGTTAAAGAAGCTTGACTGAGCTGTGTGCAGACGTTGTTTTAGAAGGCTTTAGAAGCCGTGCTATCTCGCAATGTTTTTTGTAAATGCGGCGAGACAGGCAGAACGCCCAGTCCAGCTTTCTGGCACCGGATTGTGCGCGGAGACATGGCAGTACTCAGCTTCACGCTCACTGCCTCACGGCTGCGCAACACGTGTTGCTTTTCTGCAGTGGTGTTTGGCGTTTGGCTCGAGTTCCCAGCCTTTTTGAATCGCGTTTCGCGGGATGAGTCTGGCCTTCCTGAGCCCGGCTCTCCAAAGCCATGCGCTCCGGGACCGGAGCCGCCCGGGTGCTCAGGCTGCGCCCGAGCTGAGCACGGGCGGCGTCCGGACCTTGGCCTCGGTGGGTGCTGCCCTGTTGACCTTTGCAGGGGCCAAAGCGCCGCGGCTTGCGGCGCAGCCAGCTCGGGTTTCGGCCTTGGATCAGGAAAGCCTGAAGTCGAACAACAAGTTTGCCTTTAAGATGGTGAAGATTTGCGTCATTGTCACACTCTTGCCCTTCCTGTTCTGCATCAAGAATTTCTTCTACGATCGCTCACTGAGCGACTTCGATGTGGAGTATGGCCCCCACTTGGCCCATCCGGCCCTGCGCACGACCTCAATCCTCCAGGCGGTGATGGTCTTTGCAGCCGTGATGTGGCGGGAGAAGTATCGCAGTGACCCCATAGACAGGCTCTTCGCATGGCTCTTCGTTCCTGAAGCTATTGCGCACATCCTGCTCCACTGGTTCAGCCAGTTGCCCAGTGGGTTTTCCTAGATCAACACCAGGGGAGGGTTTTCCCGTTACCAGCCACAAAGGCATGCCAATTCCGTTTTTCATACTGCCTTGGGTCAGAACCCAGCACTTGCTCTCAACGCGTGATGGTCCAAAACTGTCCTCGGGCTCTTTTCGAGTGTACCATTTGGGTTTGTTGAAAAGGGGGAAGTAGAGGGAAACCACCCAATTTTGAGGGCTTCAACTCTCTATTTTGCCACGTCATAAATCCTTTGGCTACAAAAAAGCCGAGTGCCAATTTGCTATTTGTTTACTGGCAAATTAGAGGGGAAACGCAGGTCGACGCACTTATTCAGCGGAAAACCGCCTGTGAGAAGGACAGCATGGTTCAGAGAACGGAGGTTCTGCTTCTAGCAGCCGTTATGCAATTTGCCAGAGGATGGGACGCCACCAAGATAAGGTGGAAGAGATTGATCATTTTACGGAGAAACACCAACATATTCAGACAGAGGAGAGCCACCTTTCGCAGAGTCGAAGCGAAGAAAGCGAACGCATCACATCTGCAAGAGGCTTCTCTTCGCCGTTCGATTCGAGTCGGAGGCCACCACCACGCCTTCGCCAACTTCGCCTTCGCCTACGCCTTCAGCGCCGGCATCGCGCTGCCCGGGTTCCTCTCGCTGCTGTGCTACGTGCCCAAGGAGAAGAAGCTGCCCTGGGCCTACCTGGCCTTGTACCATGGCCGAAACGAACAAGGCTGACTTCTTAAAGGAAGTTTGGGGAAGCTGTAGTCTTTTGTTCGTTTTCGCATCCGATTTAACTTCCCCCTTTCGATTTGGGTTTTGCTGGTTTTTTGGTTTTGGTTTTCCGTGAGTTTCCCTTCGAATCTGCAGCAAGTGTCGGCTTTTTGCAGGGGGTCAGGGTCCCTTCTCCATTCGGTGGGTTGGGCAAGGTACGTGGCGACGCAGATCCCCATCGTGGCGGGGCTCACCAACATGGTGGGGCCCGCTAAGATGCGGCTGAACTACGCCGCTTGGCAATCAATTGCCCATTCTGAGCCATTTTGCATTCTGATCCAAATTTCTGCGACGGGGGATTCACTTTACTACACCTAGAGGGTAGATTTTCAGGGTCACTTTTCTTTTTTTTGAACGGAGGCCTGCGTTCGGCTTTCGACGGGAACGCGATGAGGGGCTCCCTTTCCCGCGGCTTGTGCCGTTCTTGGGGAGTTTGGTCCGCACAACGGGGAGGGCTTACAAAGCAATTGGTCGACCCAGCACCCAAGATCCAACATCCATTCGGTTTGTTGGTCGAAATGTCTAGAGGCTCATGCTCGATTTTGCCAACAGCTTTTGCATTGAAGCTTTTCCCAGAAAAGATCCAAAAGACATCAAGACAATCATACGCCTCGAGGCCAACATCAATACGGCTTGGATCACCACGCCCTTCTTCTACGGGATCCTGAAGCGGTGGAGGGACGTGCCGAAGAGCCCGGTGGTCTTGGCCACGCTGACCATCAGCTACCAGGTGGGAGCTACCAGGTCCTCTTCGGAAAGTATGATTCGATTTGAGGGCTAGGCCCTTGTTGAGGTTGGTTTAAAGGGACACCAACAGGAGAACGACAATCTTTTTGGGTGGTCTTCAGGTCGCCCTTTTGGTTGCACTTTTTAAATGAGTAAGAAGTGAAGGAAAGGCGCAGCAAGGTGGCGAAACCCCCGGAGGTTTTCGAGGGGACAAATTGGCTCGGAAGCACCTCCTTCGTGTGCCGGAGACTGTCCGAGACCCAAAGCTTTCGGCCTACAGACCAACCAGAAACCTTTTTGGAACCCCCCACGAGGGGCTCTAGACAAACCAGACCAGATGATTAAACCAAGGGGACTTTTCAAGCGACACCAAAAATGTCGAGGCCACCCCACCAAAAAGCCTGAAGCAGAAAAATGCACAGCCCTCCTCACTTCCCCCCGCCTCTTTCAAAACAGAAAGAGATACTAAAAAAAGACCACCCTAACAAAAAGTAAACAATAATAAAAGTAATCAAAATAAGGATAATAATAAAAAAAAAAAACACAAATAATCATAAATACATAAATGGGTGAAATAGAAAGATCAATGCATAAATAGATTTGTAAGGCGATACACAAAAAGCAAGGATATACAAATGGACTCACATGGCATGAGCTCCCCCCCCGAGGTCCCCAAAAGTCTCCCCCCCCATTGTCGGCTTGAGGTGGCCATGGGCATCATGGGCCCCATCACCGGCGGCTCGGATTTGAAGCTCTACGACCCCAGCTGCATCTTCCAGCATGGGGTGGTGGACATCGGCTTTGGGCTGGCCTACGCGGTGTCCATTGTGTGCGGGGTCTTCCGGCCCAAGGTGCCGGTGCCGGATCTGGGGATTTGGGAAGTGGTGGAGGGGTGGGGGGAGGAGGGTTGCCGTGTGTTTATTGTTTTTCCTCGGTTTGGTGGGGTCGGCTTCGTTTTGTCTGCTCTTGTCTTGGCTCGGAGCTTGGGTGGTTGGTCTTGTTGTCCGAGAAGTTCTTTCGAGTTTAAAGGGTTTCAGCAAAGGTGAACCCACCAAATTTGGGACCCACGTCTGCGTGGTATGCCCACGCATTTCCCCCCCCTGCCAGGTGCCCAGGCCTGCCTGGAACTAGGCCTTAGCTCAGGCCGCGCGGATGCGCGCCGACGTTTCGAGAGGAAAAGGGACATGGATCCTTTGGGTGTTTTGGGCGTTTTTGGGACGTGCACCCTGGAGTTGCGGAATGCCTTGTGGCGCGCCAGGCTCAAAACATGCAAAAGGCATCAGGTTTTGAATGCAATGTGCATCCCGCAAAGAAAACCGCGAAGCACAATGTCACGATCTTTGCACCGAGCGCACGTAAGCGCGCAAGCACACGTGGCCTCGCGAGCCATTCTGCATGCAAAGATGGCCATGACTCGTGTCCCCGAGTGCGAGGCACGCTGTGGGTCTCGTGGGATGTGCTTTGGACGGGACGGCTGCCAGAGGTGTGCAACGAGAAGGTGCCGTTGCCGCCTCACTTTGAAGCACCCTGTACAGTCCAGTGCGGAAGGACTGATTTCAGAGTCAGTTGAGTCGTGAATCGTCGTGATGTTGAACCTGGCTGAGTCAACCTGGTTGATCAATGTACGGGTGTGTGTTTTTCCCAAAACACATCCATTTTCCCTCCTATGTTGGGACATCCCCTCTACCCGATCCGTGTTTGCTTTTCAGCTTGGGAGCTTTCAGCTTCCAGCCTGGGCTTTCTGGTTGGCTCCCGTGGCTACAAATCCTGCCGAGGATTTGTCACCTGGACTGCACGCAGGCGTACTTGAAGGCTCAGAACATCGCCTCCTTTGAAGCTCCTCGACAAGCGAAGCGGTTGACGGCGGTTGACGGCGGTTGACATGCGGAGTCCTGCACCCCCCAAAAAATAATATATATATATATATATGTATATAAAAGAGTAAACAGATGGTCGTGTTCTTTCCTTTTCATTTCTATTTTAACCGACCCCAAGACCCTTCTAAAGAGAGACACCCACAAGGAAGTTGGTGAAGGGTTGTTTCATGTCCGGTGTTGAGTCTGGCGGAATTCCCTTAGCTGAATCAATTCATTTGGACGTCAGCTCTTTGAGGGCTTCGTGGTTTCAGGGTGTTTTTTCAGTAAGATTTTCAAGGCAAGTAGGACAAAGTCATCGGGAATCACCCGATTCCCGAATGCGATTTATCACAGGCAGGCGCTCTGCTGCAATTCGTTTCCCAAGCATTTCAGGTGGGAACTGCTCGCCTGATCGACTGCCCCTGTGGCAAGGCGGGGGTGAATCCACCTCTTGTTTCATGTTCAAACCTCTGTTTGCACAACCTTCTGATTTCCCCTTCCATGCAACCGCTCCGCTCTTGTTGCAGGCGAACCACGCACATCAACAAACGGACACCTGAGATGGAAACCGACATCCCAGCCGCGCCGAGGGCCCTTTTCTTTGTTTTCTCCTGGGATCCTCAGCTCCAGAAATCATCACCTGGTGGTTGAGATGTCACATCACAACACACTGGTTGGGTCAATGGCGCCATGAACGAAGGAGTTTTACCCAAATTGTTAGGTGAGCTCCAACTGAAACAAGTCGTAGGTGGTTCAACACATTTTGCATCCGTCGCCACTGGAACCCCATCATCAAAATTGTGTCCTTGCCATTGTTTGAAGCCCGGCTTTCCGCTGCCAAAATCAACCGCCAGGGCGTCTACGCGCCCTCCTGCGCGGTGTGCGGTCGGAGCTTGGTGCCGCCCGCGGCGTTGGCACAGAGCTCCAGCGGCAAACGGGTGTAGCCTTTCTCTTGTTGCAACAATAGGGCTGTGCTTTTTCAGGGCTCCTTAAAAGATACATTTTGCCCATTTGAA